CGATGAAAAAATATAAGAGAGCAAGTTAATATGTAGCCCTTTACACTTATGGAAAATATATGCACACCAAAAAACAATAACCTAGTTTTCCAAAACACATGAGGACAAAAAAAAAAAAAAAAATACACATGGAGTCCATTAAAATGGTTTTCTATGGGGACAAATAGGAGCAGGAAGTGGAGACAAAAATGAATAAAACAAAAGGGGATTTCACAAATTAATGATGCTAGTGTACCATGAACTGAAGAGTGTTGATGACTCAGTCCTCTGAATCATAAAATTGTCTAGATCTGTCTAGCATCGGAGTGCCACTGCCCTTCCAAACTCAAGCTTGAAGAGAGAATTGGTCAAGATGTAGTCAGCTTCAGTAGTATTTCTACTATGTTGCCCTTTTCTTCTCACAATGATGCTCCCGTTTCCTCCATGGCTGAAGCAGTGGAAGGAAATTGGGGGCAGAAACCATCTTACTTACCTAGGTATAGTGGTCGGTTTGAGCCGCAAGGTCGGCAGTTCAAATTCATGAGCTGCTCCTCTGAAACCCTATACAGGGTTGCTATGAGTCAGAAATGACTGGAAAGTACTCAACAACAACAAAGACTAGGTAGAGTGGTCATCTGGCCATGGTGCCCTTTGTATACGGTCTAGGTTCCAATGCTGACTCTGTCTCCCAATGGGAGCTTGTGTGCATTTGGGGGAGACTTTGATCACTGGAAATATCCTACCCCCAGGTCCTTCAATGTGGACAATCTCTCCTCTAACTGGCCATGTATGATTCCACCCTAGGCCTTTTCACCAGCCATTTTTTTATGGAAGTATGTCTGTGAAGGAGTCCTGGTGTGGTGCTGTAAGGTAAGCACTGAACTGCTAACCACAAGATCATTGGTGCAAACTCACCAACTGTTCCTTGGAAATCCAATGGAGGGTCACTATGAGTTGGGATGGACTAGAAGGCACTTAACAACAACAGCAACATGTCCATTTAGGCTGGTCTCTTTGGCAAGGTCCCTTTGAAGATGATCCAAGTATGTTCTCTCCCATGAGGCCTGCCTCTGGCCCACAGGAAATAACCATGATTCCTCCTTTGCCACGCTCACAGGAAGCAGGCCACTCTTAGTAGATTCACCTTCTTAGTTGTATCACTAGAGGCCATCCCAGCCAGTGGTCTACTGTTTAGATTACAACCAAAGAAACCCTATGGAGCCACATTACTCTGTAACATATGGGGTCATCATGAGTTTCTGGTTTATATACAGATTAGGAGGTTGGGAGGTTTAGAATCACATGATCTATTTGCAAGTCCTGCACACATGGTCTGGAAATTCTCTTTAAAACATGGGGGAGTTTTCTGAAAATTAGCCAATGAAAACCCTACAGACCACAATGGTGCATAACCAATATGAGATGGAACAGGCCAAGGAAATCAATCTATGGTGCATGTTGTATATTTCTGCACAATTTCCATAATTTTTATGCATATTTATACACTATTTTTTATATATCCACCCACATAAACAGTCTATTTAAAACAATTTTTTTAAGATTGATTTAAAATACACTTCTTGGTTTCCATTTCATGACTACTCAAATGTATTATAGTCAGTTTGAGAGTATGACAAAGTATTTTCAACTCTTATCAATCTTGTTCAAGGTACCACAGTTCATTTAGCTTAGAGACGTATACATAATACTCAGAATTCTTTCTTTTTTAAAAAAAATTATTTTACTTTAGTTTGTGTTCCACTTTAATTGATCAGTAAGAACTTTCAGGACAAATAATCTGCTAGAAAAGGCACTTGTTTTTCTGCATTGATGGAAATGCAAACACTTGCAGATGAAACGAGATATCAAAATGAACCTTTTTCTTCTGTGATTAGCGGTTCAAACTCACTAGCTGCATCTCAGCACCCTATACAGGATCACTATGAGCTGGGACCAACTCGATGTCACTTAATGAGCAGATGAGGTTGCATGTGTCCAAGGTAGCATGGCGGAAGGCTTGTATCAGTTTCTGCCTTTCTTCTTAGTCTGTTCTTAGCCTGTTAGCTCTATTGAAACCAGTTCAGCATCATAGCATCACATAGACCACCACTGACAGATAGGTGGTAGACGCATAAGAAGTACATTAGGCAGAACATGACCCCCGGTCTCTTGCACTGTAGGCAAGAATTCTACACCAACATCCTCATTCCTCTCCTTAGTGCACTAAAAGGTGAGTCCACTCAAAACATTCATCTTTATAAGCCTAAATATTTATGCATCTTTAATAAGTTCAAAGCTAGTTTCCAATACTAAACACTCTTCACAACTACCCATAAAGGTGACTAAGGAAAATAACCATTTCCCACTTTCTATAGAGAAAAATGCAAGGCTGCATAGATGTCTGTCCCACACAGAGCTGAATTCACTTACAAAGAAGCTGGGGATGGGGCAGAGCTGAAAACTAACCCAGGAGAATGTGTCTTTGAAGCAAATCATCTCCAAATGCCCTGGGAAGTGTTTGCAGGCTTTGTTCTGGCTGCCCCTGAAGAAAAGAGAGGCTTTTCACAAAGGGACTGTATTTCAAAGAACAAATGCTGCTATTTTAAACTTGGGGGTGGGAGATTGTATCTGCAGCGTTTACACAAGCGAGTGCTGGCTGACTGACATCTAACCCCGGCATTTGCTCCTTCCAGCTTCCAAGGAAAGCAAAGGGAGAAACTGCTTCTGCAGAGGAGCTAGAATGAGTTCTCCACAGGATTTGAATTTTGCAAGATGAGCAGAAAAACTTGCTTAGAAATTCTAAACGAGGTTTGTCACCTGGGTGAGACTGGAAATCAAAGAAGCATTGCAAAGCTATAAAGGACACTTTCCAAGATAGGAACACAGGCAGCAAACACAAGACTTAGTGAGTGTCAAACCCACTACAAGGTTGCTATGGGTCAGAATCATCTCAACAGCACTTAACAACAACAACAACAAACCAGTTCTTGGAGTCCTGCTGGGATGCTGCAAGAAAAGCACTGGGCTGAAAGGTCAGCAATTCAAATTCACCAGCTGCTCTTGGAAAGCTTATATAGGGTTACTGTGAGTCAGAAACGACCTAACAGCAACACGACAACCCAGTTCGTTTTTGTGTGTGTTTGTGTGTGTGTGTGAACCTATTACAAGGAGTCCTCCTTGAGTGGTATAGCTAATGCCACTCACCTGCTAAAGAAAAAGTTGGCAGTTCAAGTCTACTCAGAGGAACCTCACAAGAAAGCCGGGGCAATCACAGGTTCTGAAAACTCGGCCCCTGACACAATTGGAGTAAAGTCTGACTCTGACACACATGGACTCACCAAGAGTCAGAGCTGAGTCAACAGTAACAGGTACTGGTATGAAGCTTCCAAACTAACACAAACCAGAAAGAGAGGCCCACTACCATCACATAGATTCCAAGTCATAGTGACCCTATGCAGGGTTTCCGAGACTGTAAACCTTTACAGTTGTTGTTGTTAAATGCCATCGAGTCGAGTCAATTAAGATCCATAGTGACCCTGTATAGGGTTTCCAAAGAGAAGCTAGTGAACTTGAACCACTGATCTTTCAGTTCAAACGACTTTGCAGTCTGACACATTAGCCCACAGCACCACACCAGGACACTGTAAAGGTTTACAGCAGCAGACTGTAAACCTTACAGCAGCAGAAAGCCTCCTCTTTCTCCTATGGTGCATCGCATCTGGTGGATTCGAACTGCTGACCTGATGGCTCAACCATTGATAACTCTGTGGAGTACAGTTCTACTCTGACACACATGGGTTGGCATGACTTATGGCAACTAACTGGTTTTCATTCTATTATTGCTAATGGGCAGTGCTGCTTGATTAAGCTCAACCTCTGGGGTCAGCTATCCCTTGCTCTACCATTGTTGTTGTTGATAATGTGCTGTGGAGTCAGTTTCCGACTCATAGTGACCCTGTACAGGGTTTCCGAGGCTGTAAATCTTTACAGGAGCAGAACACCTCATCTTTCTCCCGTGGAACAGCTGGGAGTTTCGAACTGCTGACCTTGAAGTTTGCAGCCCAATTCACAACCATTACGCCATAAACTCACCAAGCTTCAGTTTCCTCATTTGTCAAACAGGGAACGTGACAATTTGTACCCGCACCTTCTAATGCAATTGTCAGTGGTCAGATGAGCTACAAGGTACATGCTCAGGACAAGTGATCATGCCTGCTGCTATGAATGCTACCCCACCCCCACCCAGAGGCAAGAAGATCTCCCCGCCAAGCTGGAAAGCGTCTCTGGCCTTTCCAAGTCCAACAAAGAGGCAAAGGCAACAGTATTTATGCTGAAAGCAATAACAATAAATTGTCCATCAGAGCTTTTCCAGTGTTCTCAACTCTCTGAGGCTTCAGGAACTTCAGAAAAGACAGCTGTGATCAGGAAGGAAGGGCAGAGAAAGGTGAGCCCTTAGCAAGACAAAGTTCCCCCCAAAGAACTCTGATTTAAAAAGAAAAAAACTAGCCCTAAATCTTTCCAGGAAACCAAAACACAGCCAAACTGGCTCCACAGGGGACCAGAACTGCATTTGGGCTTCCCTGGCCAGAAGTTTAAAACTCACTGGAAACATTGCATGGCTGAGAGTGGTCAGTTACAATTTTAAAAAAAAAAATCATTTTCCATGTTCACAATCCGAAAAATAGTCTGTTGAAAGAGTGTCCCATTCAAAGAGGAGACAAAAGCAAGAGAGAGACTGAGAGAAAGAAAACAGATTGTCAGCTATCTCTTGGGTCTTTCAAAGACTGCAGTGTCATCAGTGTTAAAGGAATCGCGAGGCTCCCCTCTCGGTAAAAAGGAACGAATCACTTTAGCGTAAGTTCTGGAAACTATACTGCTGAGCTCCCAGCGCAGTCGAATTCCTTTACAATTCAGTGACACAACGTTCCAGAAACCGAGTTCAGGTCTGTGGGGGAAGGGAAAAGGGAGGCACTAAGTCTCCACACCGCTGTTTTAAAAGGAAAGAAAACGAAGTCACTAACCTTGCCTCCTGTCCGCGAAGCGAACCGTGCTTGGCTGAGGCTGTCGCCCATGGCAGAGCGTCCCAAAGTTCAGGAGATGGGCAAGAACGGAAAGGTTCGCAAGCCAGCTCCTCCGAACACATGGCATGATTCAGTTGTTGGGGAGAAGAAAGCTACAAAAGTTGGAGCCTTCAACTCAAGAAATCGAGTCCTTGCCTGCGGCCGAGCTGACAGAGTCTGGAGTGCATGGTCCAGGCTTGGAGAAAGCGCAGAGGCAGGAGAAGCGGCCCAGGGTCGTCTCCCTTTGCCTTCCTAAGCAGTAAGGGACTAGGTACCTTTGTCCCCCTCCCAGCTCCTGAAAGGAGAGTGATTGGGCTGACGGTGTCTGCGCTCTGAGGGGTGTGGAATGGGTGGGAGTGGAGGGTGCAGCCCACCCCAGGTCCCCACCCCTCTGCCTTCAGCACGCCCAGACCACATCTTTCTCCCTGACTCCCACCCCCGCGTTGCAGGGACCCGCCCAGAGTCCAGGCCCAACCTGCCAAATAGGGGAGCCCGGGAAAGTCACCCTGGGCGGGGGAGGAGGCAGCCAGCTGGACTCTAGGTAGCTAGGAATGAGAGGATTCCAGGCCAGTTCCTCATGGGACTGCAATATTAGTGAAGAAGAGTTAACTCTGAGAAGAGAGAACCCCATGCCCTTCATCCTCCCAACTCAGTGCTGCCCCCTCCTTGCTGTTCTTCTTCCAATTCCCGAAGTTTCCTCTTCAATGCTCTCCCCAGACTCTCTTCTCAACCAGACTTCTCTGGGATTCTCGACCAGGCGAGCTAGGACTTCGATTTCAAGAAGTTATGGACATTTTTTTTTATTAGCCAAGTCACAGAAAGGGAACAGGTCCAGCTAACGTGTTCGTGTGACCCTGGACAAAGCTTTTCATGTGTGAAATGAGGTAACTGGAATAAATGAGTGTGGGTCTCTGAGTTTGCAAGTCTTCATGTTGTTTTTCTGATTGTATAAACGCGTCTCCTCTGGTCCACCCACCTTACCAAAAAGGAAACTGGAGGGACCAACCATTCAAGAGCCAAAGGACAAAGTGGAGAAGGATGGTAAGGAGGGTGGAATGGAAATAAGAATCACAGAGAGGAAGTGAGGTAACTGCTGGTACTTGGAGGGGGGACTGCAATCATTGAGAAGAAGCTAGAGTATGATTTGTTGAATGTAAAACTGATACTCTTCTCTGTAAACTTTCACTCTATTCACAATAAAAACTTAAAAAATAAAACAGTTTATTGTAGCTGCTATTCTATGTGTGGGGTCCTGGTGTGGTGCTGTGGGTAAATACTTGGACTGCAAGGTTGGTTGGAACCACAAGGTTAGTGTGGTTCAAGCTCACCAGCCGCTCCTCGGAAACCCTATACAGGGTTGCTGCCCTTAACAACAACATTCTATGTGCATATAGTGAGACCATCCGATTCTTATAAAACAAATATCTCAATGTTTATATATTGAAGTTGTTGTTAAGTGCCTTCAAGTCAGTTCTGACCCACAGCGACCATGTGTAGGGTTTCTGAGGAGCAACTGGTGGGTTTGAACCACCGACTTTGTGGTTCAAACTGACCTTGCAATCCAGGGCCTTATCCTGCAGTACTGCACCAGGACTAGGTAAATTGAAGAGGAGAGAGTGATATTTGAAAAAAAAAAAAACAACCATTGGCTAATCTTACTTGATTGTTTGAACCATGCCCCAGGCTGTTTTCTGGGAGATTAGTTGATATCAGGGTATAAGTGGTCTCTGGCAAGTGGCAGGGGATCATTCAGAGGCACAATCTTTAGGCCATTGTACTTTGCGAGTTTCCATGGTGATAAAGTTCTTAAATGTCATTGATTTAGCATTAAAGGTAAATCAGTAAAGTTTGACTCTACCTATAGCGTAGTGGTTACGAATCGGGCTGCGAACCTTAAGGTCAGCGGTTCGAAACTTCCAGCTGCTCCTCGGGAGAAAGATGAGGCTTTCTACTCCCGTAAAGATTTACACCCTCGGAAACCCTGTACAGGGTCGCTATGGGTCGGAATCGACTCGACGGCACTTAACAACTTAACAACAACATTTGTAGCTAAGTGCTTGTTATGTTATTGACTCTTAGCCATCTGGTACAGGGTTTTCAGTGGCATTCTGGTGTGCCGCCTTGGGCTAAAAGACAGTTTAAACCCTAAAGTCGGTGGTTCTAACTCACTAGCTGCACCTTGGAAACCAGGGTTGTTATGGGTCTGAACTGACTCAAAGCCACTTAAAAACAACATAAAAAATACAAGGAGTGGCTGGTGCATTGTCCTGCAGTAGCTCTGAGACCTCTTGAAATTAAAATTAAGGAAGCTCACAGTCTGTTTTATCAAATTGTGAGGTAATGGGTTTGTTACTGACTGCCTCTTTTGAGCCAAAGAAGAGTAGTTACCCATTCCTGGTTTAAAAAAAAAGTAGTTTTGCTATTTTGGGTCCGACTTTTACTGGTTGGGACTCATGAGTAAGAGAAACCCCTTTAAATCAATGGGATATGTCTGTTTTAAATTTTTTATTTTGCAATATCAAAATACCATGGCTTAGGTCAGGTGCATTACCACAATAAAAATAATAGCTGCAGCCATCATTCCTCTCCCAGAACTAGCCTCCTGCTTCTCTGTAATTCCTCCCCCTGTCCCTACCTGCACCACTCCCAACCACAGGTAACCACTCTTCTGTTTTTAGTTACCAGAGATTAGTTTGTATTTTCTAGAATTATATAAAAATAGACTTATATATTAAGTGGACTCCTAGAGTAGAATCAGCACTGGACTATAAGCCACAAGGTCATCAGAAACTCTATGCAGGGTCACTAGGAGCCAGAACAGATGCGACGGCACTGAACAACAATAACAAGATACACTAAGTATTCACTAGTGTATAATCTGCTGCACAAGACCCTTCTAAAGTGTTGAAGAGCGAAGATGTCAGCTTGAGGACTAAGGTGTGCCTGACCCAAGCCATGCTATTTTCAATCACCTCATATGCATTCAAAAGCTGGACAGTGAATAAGGAAGACCATAGAAGAATTGATGCTTTTGAGTTATGGTGTTGGAGGAGAATATTGAAAGTGCCACGGACTGCCAAAAGAACCAACAGATCTGTGTTAGAAGAAGTGCAGCCAGAGTGCTCCTTGGAGGCCAAGATGGCCAAACTTCATCTCTCATACTTCGGACATATTGTCAGGAGGGACCAGTCGCTGGAGAAGGATATCATGTTTGGTAGGGTGAAGGGTCAGAGAAAAAGAGGAAGACCCTCCAGCAAGATGGATTGGCAAAGTGGCAGCATCAATAGGCTCAAGCGTGGCAACAATAGTGAGGTTGGCCCAGGACTGGGCAGTGTTTTGTTCTGCTGTGCATAAAGTCGCTATGAGTTGATACCAACTCAATGGCACCTAACAACAACAACAAGAATTCATTTTTGTCTGCCCTCTTTTGCTCAGTATAATATCTGATGCTGTATATCAATAATTTGTTCCTTTTGGTTTCTGAGTACTATTCCATTGTATGGCTAGACCACAATCCGTTTACTCATTTACCTTGTCAATAGTTTTTTACTTGTTTTAGAAAATGTTGGAGGAAAAACTCGGTCCTACATGCCTTAACATCAAGCCAATGTGTTAATTCGTGTGAAAGGACCGTTCACTGGAACTCATGAAGCAAGGCCCTCCTCAAGTGCTGTTAAGGATTGCATTTCAACGGACATATGTGTTTCTCCCAGGAATAAAGTGATTTGAAAAGATGGACCTTAAGATAATAAAAATGGGCTTTGAAGTTAACCCTGAAGGAAGATAAAAATCTTTCTGTGGTTTGTAAAGAGTCTCATCCTAGCCTGTACACATTGCCGGGCAGGGGTGTGGGTTTCCTCAGTAGCCCTGGGAAGCTAGACTCTGCTCTCAGGCACCCTTTCATGAGGCCCAGCAGACACTGAATGAGGCCTCTGTGACGCCATCCAAATGGTGCCAGCTGGGATCATGTCCTCTATTGCTGTAGCAGCCCCTTTTACTGTCACAGATAACACTCTGACTCACATGGTTAGTTACTTGTTTTGTTGTCTCGTCCATACTGCACCAAGTCTCCAGAGGCTTCTAAGAGCAAAGAATAGCATTAATCCAGCCAGTTTCCTGGAGTAAAGTAGAGGTCCTGATCAGATTAAAGTGTGATTAGTGTCAGTGGATGGAATGATGGAGTCTTTGAAATCTAGTGTGAGTACATAAGGTACCCAGAATATGTTTATTGAGACATAGACTGGTATTTAGAAGTCTGTGAAAGTCTTGTAGAAAGCAGTGATGGTATCAGATTGAGAGGCAGACAAGTGAACTGTGTTTCATGCAGCAAGAGTCAAGTTAATTAGATACTTATAGCTGACTTTCTTGTAGGAACATAGACTATGCTTTATTAATCCCTCTATTTCCCTCAAAGATTAACCTGGTAAAGGAATATTTACCAGGTTGGTGTGTAGGTATGTGACTAGTGGGGAATGTTCTAGAGAATGATCTGCTTTGGGATCCACAGAGATACCACCTATTAAAAAGAGGTTTTGGCCTTCTCTCCTAACTCCTGCCTGGCCTTGAGGAAATAATGTTTTGGTTATAAAATTAGACTATTCCCTTCTCTCTTTACTTTTAGAGATAAATATTCTCTAGCTCTGGTAGCATAGTGGTTACGAATTGGGCTATGAACCGCAAGGTCAGCAGTTCGAAACTACCAGCTGCTTCACGGGATAAAGATGAGGCGTTCTGCTCCCGTAAAGATTAACAGCTTCGGAAACCCTGTGCAGGGTCGGAAACCCTGTGCAGGGTCGCTATGAGTCGGAACCGACTCCACGGCACATAACAACAACAACAACATTGTGGTTTGCTGAAAGCAAAAGTACGTATTTGCACCACCAGCCACCTAAATCAGGAGGGGCTTGTAATATTGACCCCAGGGGCACTTGTTGCAGCAGAAACATTGTATGGGCCTCAGCAAAAGGCAGGATGCCAGCCACTGCTCAGGGGACTGAGCATCCTGGGCACTCCATTTCTGTTCCATCTGCATGTGGTTCTGGTGCTAGCATCCAAACTTAGAATGTAGTCAAGAAAAGGAATCACTGA